TGTATATTGAAGTCTGTCAGTGTGTATTGTATATAGAATAACCAACTGTTAGTAATTTTTACTGTTATTTTCTGATTTGAAAGGCTCATGGTGAGACACTTCATACACACAAGAAGGGCTTGCAAGCTGGCCTCCTAATACGAAGACCAAGATGGTGCACTGCAGGACACCTTTCTCCTTTTAAATGTTCAAGAAAAAAAAGGACTAATGGACATGTATGTGTGTTTTTTTTTGTTGTGAAAGAAACCTACAGTGCAAGTCCTATTAAGAGTAACTGACTCCTCCATACAATATAAAATAGTGATATAAATAGTGTTTTGTGCAGTATTATCACTACATATAGTGAAGTTATTGTATACCTTTTCAATAGCAAAGGTATTTAATTGATTCCAGTTATTTCAGTAGAAATTTTGAGGGCGATATTGCATGGGGTTGGTCAAGTTCAAGTTGGTCAAGCAAATTTGCTTTTTTGTGTTCATTCTTTTCAATGCCACTTGCCACTTTTTAAATTACAGTTGATCATATCATTTAGTTAGTAGCTAAGCTGGCTAAAATATGAGTAGCTTGTCCAACATGGATTTGTATATTAAAAAAGGCCTCAGAATAATAATATTTTATGCTGTAAATGCACTCATAATATGTAGAACTGCTCTCTTTGAGGAATCACAATCGTCTGTAAAGGTTTTGCACTGGTTTAGTGACATTGTCATTATTACAGAAGACTAACAGCTGCTATAGAATAGATATAAAACTGCACATATATCTGCATTATTGTCATGCATCCATTTCATACAGAATGCAGTGCAATTCAAGGAAGCAACTGCAAAATCCAATCAACACCTCAGTGGCCCTTAGTACACCTGTTGCACATTGCATCTCAAATGTGTCTCTTGTGATCACTTGTGATTGAATTTTTTCGAAGGGGAGGGCCTTATGACTACATACATCAGTTACTGTGTCAGCATGTCAATGAATGTAGGTAACACTTGCTGTTGAATCTATTCATCACCATATATTTGATGTTTTGTACTGAATGAGAGAGGATAGGAAATTATTGGGAAATTTCGAAAGAAATTTCCAAGCTTGACCTGCTTCATTTTAGTCTTTGCTGGGTCAAAAGTTTACACAAGACTTAATCAGAATAAAGGCAGGTCTGGTTCGATTAAAACAAATTGTTTATGTAATTGCTGCCTTAGTGAATTTCATTTGAATAAGTGTGAATGCTACCATTCAAACCTTGGTGCACAACAAACAAGTGGACTTTTCAGGGGGGGACCCACCTTTTCAGGGGTTTGACTGAAATATAAATGTATTGCTGAACAAAGACATCTAAATTAAACCAAAAACAGTACGTGATTTCACAAGATGTGACCCTAAAAAGGACAGAATGCTCAAGCATAACTGGTTCTTCTTGTCATAGGAACTATTTTGTCCATTTCAATTTGGTACAGACATCGGAACCACCAACTACTTACAGCAGATTTCCCTCTGTGCAACAGAGGAATTCCTGGCTCTGTTTTGACTCATTTACACATTTTTTAAGCACTTTGTAATTTCTTATGAATACAATATACACACAACTAGCGCATTTAGCCCAGAATACTTTAGGTATCTTTAGGTTTGGTGTTAAAAATGTGAATGCTAAGCGAACCAGGACTAAATGTTTTATTTTTCTTGTTTTGGTCCTGACCAGAAGAACCAAGAGAACTGAACTACAAGTGTAAACACACCCTAAAACTGCGTTGAACGAAATTCATTGGACATATCATAAAACCCTATTCACTAGTTCACCATCAGAGCCTTTCACTACCAATAACAGGCTGTAGACATTGAAAATGCTCTAAGCGGAGCTCTTGTCCTTCAGTGAGTATGGAAGGTTGAGACCATAGAATATAAAAAATAAGCCACTGCATCAGTGTGCATCATTGCTAAAATTGAACATGGAGAGTGCAGAGTTGAGACTTAAAAGATTTTTCCACTCTCTATGATTGGAAAGGGGGAAATCTGGTTGAATGGTAAATCACAGAGATGACTTGTTTCTATTTATGCTGGTGACAAATGATGACTAGATAAAAGGCAATTTTGCTTAAAACTATTCCAGCGTTGTATGTAAGACTGGGTACTACAAAGGGAGGCATATAATCAGATAATTCTGTTTGATAGATATTAGCCTACAATCCAGAATCTACTTTGTATAAGGAAGCTTGTAGAGAAAACAGCGGCCAACAAGGACACATGCCTCACATGGAGATAGATAGATGAAGATCATACCAGTAAATAAAGTCAAAGCCAGAGACCGGAAATATGCATTAACTTCATTTAATTTCACGATCAAAAACCAATGTCAAGATCCAACCCATCTGTATAGGCCTGAGGGTATTTGAGGTTAGTTAAATTAAATGAAAACTGAGTTGATCTAAAGAGGTAATTTTATTTAAAGTTAAAATAATTTTTTGTGTGTTAAAATTGAAATAATTTTATTAAAGGAATAGTTTAATAGAATATTTACTCAACCTCAGGCTCTTAAAGATGTAGATGAGTTTATTTCTTCACCAGAACAGATTTGGAGAAATTTAGCATTACATTTAGCATTACATCACTTCCTCACCAATGGATCCTCTGCAGTGAAAGGGTGTCGTCAGAATGAGAGTCTGTTAAAAACATCACAATAATCCACAAGTAATCCACACGACTCCTGTTAATAATATTAATAATAATAATAACAGTTTTGAGATTAATTTACCTATTGTTGTCATTGGATAATAGTGTGTTTATATTATGATGCATTTTGATTTAATTTTTATGTGTATTTTAATGGAGAATTTGTGGGTGGGAGACCCTCAGAGGCATATGGTTGCTGTTATTGTTATTGTTATTTATCACATGGCTCTCTGGAATACTTGATTGGTCAGCAGTGATCAGATATTTCTGAATAATATCCCTGACAACACTGCACAACTGACCCCTCATTTGGGAAGCCTGTGTTGCCTACTTAATTTAATAATTATTATAATGAATGGAGTCATCTGTCAGGCCTGTGTTGTGTTTTGTTCCCCATGTGCTCCCTGTGTCCCAGTGTTTAGCCCTTTTTTGGTTATGTTCCTGTTCTGATTATTTCATTGACTTCATTAGTCTCCACCTGTGTTTGTTTATTTGATTCAGGTGCGTTTAATTTACTCCCTCGTTATGTCTTGTATTTAAAGTGTAGTCTGCCGGATGTTTCTTTGTCGAGTCTGAACGTCGTTACCTGTTTCCTACGTGTGTGTCCCTGGTTCCGTGTGAAAGAATAAAGTATGCATCATCGTGAATTCCCCTCCGTCTCCTCGTTCCTCGCTCCTCACAGTAGGGAGCGTGACAGAAGACTCAACCTCAAAAAGATGACTGAAGCTGAGGATGCGCTGTGGGGTTTGCGGCAGAGGTTGGAGCGATATGGGGAGGGCTTTCTAAAGCTCTCTAACCGGGTGATCTGGCACGACGCTGCTCTAGGTGCGTGCTTCCTGCTGGGGTTGGATGACGAGATAATCCGCTGCGATCTTCCGACGTGTGATTTTCCCCTGATCGAGCTGATTAATCTCGTGCTGTTCTTAAATGGTTCTGATTTCGAAGTGGAAGAAGTAAAGAAACTTCCCAAGCCTCGTCATCCAACTCCCGCTGGAACGCGCCGCGTCTCCCCAGCTCACCCCACACCGAGAACCTCCACATACCACTCCAACGGCTCTTACCGCCTGCCTAACCCCAAATCCCCCGGGGTCCTCCGAAGCTCCACCGGAGCCTACTGCCCAGGAAGGGCTCCGGTTCCCGAATATAGCCCACGGAGGGCTCCTGTTTCCCAGTTAAGCCCAGGGAGGGCTCCTGGTCCTGAGTGTAGCCCGCCGGGGGCTCCTGATTCCCAGTTAAGCCCCGGAAGGGCTCCTGTTTCCCCGTTAAGCCCAGGGAGGGCTCCTGTTTCCCTGTTAAGCCCAGGGAGGGCTCCTGTTTC